CCTTGCTGGATTCTCGGACAAAATATCCACGAGCTATCCCCCCACCAGGACATGTCCACGGCAACTGTGATCATCTATTAAGATGAATAGATGATCACCATATATTTCTCGTAGTGAATTAGGAAAGTATTTTGGGGCTAAATGTCAATTACACCCCGATTGAACAGTGAGCTAACCCCCCATACACTATTTATCATTGATTAAAATATTTCAAAAAAAGTTTGACACTGCCCGGGACTTGAACCCGGGCCCCTTCCTCTATTTCTGCAATGCCGTCGCGCTAAACCACTGCGCCACCGCGTCAAACGCTCACGCTTATTCTCGATCTCATCTATCGTTACTTCAATTTGGAATTCAACTGATTGATCTACAGTGTCAATGTATGACCCACTACAATCCATGCTACCAAGTTTGCTTCTGATGGCACAGGAGCTTGCACAATATTATTACCTTTGAAATTTTTTAAGTAAATATGTTCGAGAATAAAAATACAGATACCTTGCAATCATTGGTTGCACCGAATTCGTACTTCGTAATCGGCTAGCCAAATCAAACGGCAAAACAATATTGAAGTCGAAGAAAAAAGTAGGCCTTGCATTCCGTCGTTCCCTGTAGTGGTTTTAACCAGATATACAGTACTGCTAACTTAATATTGCCTTCTCGCTTTTTCCGGCTGATAGATAGGGCTCACTCAAGGGGGGGGTGGTTTTTGATTTTTCTGAAATGTCGCGTACGGGTGTTTTTATCCGGAACGCGGGTCCCCTCATCCGGACATTCCTTCTTTCCAGGTGCGCGTGACGAGGATCAATCCGTCGGAAGTATAATGGATGCCCAGAATCGAACTGGGGACCTTCGGGTTACAAAATTTATTTTTCTTTAAATTTATTATTATTTAAAGCGCTCTAACCATTGAGCTAATTACGACACCTGGGGGGTTAGCTCATTGTCAAGGGAGGTGTATTAGTGGTTTTAACCGGATATACTACTAACTTAATATTGCCTTCTCGCTTTATCCGGCTGATA